GTATATTGACAGGGAACATCTAGAAAGGCAAGCTGGATTCAGACAAGGATGTAGAATGAGTTATATCATTGCTGATGTCAGAGGGACATGGCTGAAAGCAAAGAAAAACAGAAAGATATCTACCTATGTTTATGCAAAGACATTTGACTGTTGTTGTTTTTGTTGTTATGTGCCATCGAGTCGGCCCCGACTCATAGCGACCCCTCCTTGGGTTTCTGAGGCAGTATCACTACGAAAGTAGGATTGCCCAACCTTCCTTTCGAGGAGTGGCTGGTGGGTTTGAACTGCCACCTTCTGGTTAGCAGTCAAGTGCTTTAGCCACTATGCTCTCTTTGACTGTTTAGATCATAACAAATTATGGATAACATTAAAAAGAATGGGAATTCCAGAACATTCACTTGCTCTTATGAGGAGCTTGTAGATACACAAAGAAGCTATTGTTCGAAGAGAACAAGGGGATGCTGCATGGTTTAAAATCAGGAAGAGTATGCATCAAGGTTGCATCCTTTCACCATACTTATTCAATCTCTATACTGAGCAAATAATCCAAGAAGCTGGACTATATGAAGAAGAACACAGCATCAGGACTGGAGGAAGAACCATGGACAACCTGGGATATGTTGATGACACAACTTTGCTTCCTGAAAGTGAAGATGACTTGAAGCACTTACTGATAAAGATCAAAGACTACAGCTTTCAGTATGGATTAATTTTCAATATGGAAAATGAAAATCCTCACAACTGGACCAAAGAGCAACATGATGATGAATGGAGAAAAGATGGAAGTTGTCAGGGATTGCATTTTACTTGGATCAACACCCATGGAAGCAGCAGTCAGGAAATCAGATGCCCTGCTGCAATGAGAAAATTTGCTGCAAAAACCTCTTTGGAGTGTTAGAAGCAAAGATGTCACTTTGTGGGCTAAGATGTGCCTAACCTAAGCCATGGTATTTTCAGTCACCTCATATGCATGTAAAAGCTGGACAATGAATAAGGAAGCCCAAAGAGTTGATGCCTTTGAATTATGATGTTGGTGAAGAATATTGAAAATACCATGGACTGCCAGAAGAATGAACAAATCTGTCCTGGAAGAAATGTAACAGGAATGCTCCTTGGAAGCAAAAATGGCCAGAATTCATCTCACCTACTTTGGTCATGTTTTCAGAAGGTACCATTCCCTGGAGAAGGAGATCATGCTTGGTAAAGTAGAGGGTCAGCGAAGAAAGAGAAGACCCTCAATGAGATGGATTGACAAAGTGACTGCAATGATGAGTGCAAGCACAGCAAAGATTGTTAGGGTGCAACAAGACTGGGCAGTGTTTCATTCTTTGTACATAGGTTTGATATGAGTTGGGGCTGACTCGACAGCACCTAACAACGACAACCACCAAAACATAAAATATTTGGGTAAATCTTACCAGGACCACAAAAGATCTATACAAAGAAACCTGCAAAGCACTACTTCAAGAAACTATAAGAGATCTACATAAATGGAAGAACATACCATGCTCATAGATAAGACGACTGAACATTGTGAAATTGTCAATACTACCCAAAGCAATCTATACATTCAATGCAATCCCAATCCAGATTCCACCATCATTCTTTCAGGACATGGGAAAACAAATCACTAATTTTATATGGAAAGGCAAGAGACCTCAGATAAGCAAAGCATTACTGAAGAACAAGTGGGAGGTCTCATACTCGTCAATATCAAAACCTACTATACAGCCACAGTAATCAAAGTAGCCTGGAATTGACATATGTTTTGGTTACCTAGTGCTGCTCTGACAGGAATATACCACAAATGGGATGGCCTTAACAAACAAGAGTTTATTCTCTTATAGTTTGGAAGCTTTAAGTCTGAGTTCAAAGTGCCAAGCTGTAGGAGCTGGGTGAAAGCCCCTCAGCCTTGGGCTTCAGCTCTGCCTCCAGCACCTGGCCCAGTGAAGCTAGAGGCTTTTCTTCACTCAGACAGCTGCTGGCTGCTAAGGCTGCCAAGCCCAAGATTGACAAGTAAAAAGGCACAGTCCTGATATTACCAAACCACATGACAGGCCATTAATTCAAGTCCATTGTAAGTCCCAAGGTTGGCAGAACATAGCAGGCTACTGAACAGTGACACAGCTACATGCAGGGTCCAAGCATGCCATAAGCTAGAGACCATTCCCAAAGCTGCTTCTTATATACGGGAAGCAGACCACATACCAAAAGCAGCTACTCGGCTGTTTGTGTGGTAGATCCCACCATGGAGTTGATTGCCAATCTCATCATGGGGAATAACTACCACCAGCTGCCCAGCCACTCAACCAGGCCCAGCCAAGTTGACACACAAACATCACCACCACAACATAGCAACAGACACATAGATCAATGTAATGGAATTGAAGAACCCAGAACCAGATCCATCCATCTATTGTCACCTGATCTTTCACAAAGGGCCAAAATCCATTAAATGGATTTAACAAAGTGTGCTGGCAAAATTAGATATCCATTTGCAGAAAAAAGAAACAAGATCCATACCTCACACAATACACAAAAGCTAACTCCAGTTGGATCAAAGACTTACATGTAAAACCTAAAAGTATAAAGTTTATCAAAGAAAAAGTAAGGGCAAACTTAGGGTCCCTTATATATGGCATTAATAGACTACCAAACATAAGTGAAAATTCACAAACAGCAGGTGATAAACTAGATGACTGAGACCTTCTAAAAATTAAATTCTTATGTGCATCGAAAGACTTCTCCAAAAGAGAACTTACAGATTGGGAAAAATTACTCAGCAGTGACATATCTGACAAGAAACTTATCTCTAAACTTTATAGAAAACTTCAACACCTCAACAACAAAAAGACAAATAATCCAATTAAAAAAATGGGTAGAAAACATGAACAGACACATCACCGAAGAAAATATTCAAGTAGCCCAACAAACACATAAAGGAATGTTCATGATCATTAGTCATTAGAGAGATGGAAGTCAAAAAACAATGAGATACCATCTCACCCCGCCACTTATAGCAAAATTCAAACGACAGAAAATAACAAATGCTGACAAGAATGTGGAGAAATTGGGATTCTCATAGTGGAACCGTAAATGAGGCAACCACTGTGGAAAATGGTATGGTGATTCCTTAAAAAGTTGTAAATAGAAATACAATTTGATCCAGCCATCCCATTACTAGGTATATATCCTAAAGAAGTGAGAGCCAGGACACGAATAGATATATGCACACCCAGGCTCATCGCAGCACTATTCACAACAGCAAAGAGATGGAAACAACTTAAGTGCCCATCAACAGAGAAAAGGATAACCAAACTATGGTACATAAACACAATAGAATACTGTGCAACACTAAAGAATAATGTAGAATCCATGACACACCTCATAATGTTGATGAACTTTGAGGATATTACACTGAGTGAAACTAGTCAATCACAGAAGGACAAATATGGTATTAATCCACTATCATAAAAAGTCAAGAAAGGTTTACAGATGGAAGGAAACTTTCTTTGTTGTTTAGCAGGAATAAGAGGGTTTAAATTGCTAGATAGGTAAGAGACAGGTATTGATTTGGGTGAAGGGAAAGGCAATATGCCGAAAATAAGTAATGAACACAATAACAGTAAGGAAAAGGAAGAAACAGGGAGATACATAAGAGGTACAGACAATAAAGATAAACACTTGTACATACACAATACTATATTTTCAGTAATAACAAACATTGATCTACAGGTGGATACATAGGTAGACAGGCTGAATGATCAAGTGTGTCTAGGCAAAAGGGAATATACCCATGACCATATATAAGTTTGGCAGTTCATATATCTACATGTGTATTTGTACGTCCTATAACAATATCCATATATATGTATATATATACACACATACATACATACATATATAGAGTAGAGCTAACAGGGCAAAGTTATGATAATTTCTTAGCCACAGCCAAACATCCTGAGAGAATGAGTCACTGGGCCCATGGGCTTGAGGTCACAGTGGACATCAAGCTTAATTGGCATAACATACTACACAAAAATATTGTTCTATATCCTACTTTGGTAAGTAGTGACTGGGGAGTTAAAAGCTTGCAAGTGGCCATCTAAGATGCAACAATTGGTCTCTCCTTGTCTTGAGCAAAGAGGAAAGAAGAAAACCAAAGACACATGGAAACAATTAGTCCAAGGGACTAGTGGACCTAGCAAATCTCAGCCTACATGACCCTGAGACCAGAAGAACCAGATGGTACCCAGCTACTACTGTCAACCACTGGAAAAGGGATCAATATAAGAGATCCTGAATAGAGTGGGAGAAAATGTGGAACAAAACACACAATCACAAAAAATACCAGGCTTGCTGGTCTGTTAGAGACTGGTGAAACCCCCAAGACTGTGGCCCCTGGTCATTCTTCAGGCCTGAATTTAACTCATTCCCTAGGCTTCCAGACAAACAATAGACAGGCATATGGGATTAACATTTACACCAAGTAGACACAATCCTTGGAGCAATCAACCATGGGAGATCAGAAGGGCAGTATTTGCACAGGGAGATAGCTCAGAGGGCAGAAATGCATAGGAAAGAAGGACATAGGGAAAAGGTAACCACAGGGAGGAAGTGGGAAGAGAGGTGTTACATTATGGGGATTGCAGTTAATGTCTTAAAACAAAATGTGTATGAACTGTTATATGGAAAATAAATTTGCTCTGTAAACTTTCACCCAGATCACAATTTGAAAATAGAAATATTATTCTTTTGATTGTTTTTTCAGTTATTTAAAAATGTAAAAACAATCTTAGTTTGAGGGACACAGAAACTGAGCCAGCAGGCTGGATTTGAGATATAGGTTATACTCATACTTTCTTTACTCTTATATTAGAAATAAAATTAAAAATCTAAATTTAAAATTTGTGACCTGATGATTCAGATTACTTAATTTTGTGTAGTTTTATTTTAGCAACTGAACATAATGTGTTTACCTCTTCACGTTTTTTAAATAGGCTCTGGAAATATGGCGGTGTCACATCCCATTGCTGCCACCACACCTGAAGGGAGCAACTATGGAGCAATAGGTATTTCTTATTATGTGTCCTTTCATGGAATTATTTTCTAATTCTCCATGGCATAGGATACAAAGGGCCTTCCAGCCACTAATAACTGTGGCTGTAGGCAAGGCAGGCATCATATGGGATTACTTTAATGAATAAATTGATTGGATGATCTGGAAGTCTCCATCCAGTTTGAACTTTCTCCAGTTCTATTGTTCTGTTTCTTGGGGATGCTAGTGACACTTGAGCAAGATTCTCCACAGTGACACCTAACCTATCAACTACAAGGCCCTAGTGGGGACTTCTTCATACCCAGCTTAAGTTTAGGGCATGAAAGCTGTGTCAAAGTCTCATGTCAGAGAGCCTATTGACCAATTGTTTCATTCTCAGGTTTCAGTGGAGTAAGGGCGATCAGAAGACTAAGGCTGTGCTGCAGGTGAACATGGTTGTAGCCTAACAATCTTTCATTTTGGCTAACTTCATAATTGAACCTGCTCACTGCCACCCAGTCATTCACATGGCAACCCCCAGTGTTCATTAAGTGCCCTGAGAGGAATAGAATCCCTAATCCCATCTTGTCAGGGGAGGAGTGTGCTGAGCTATCCCTCCCATGATGCTTGTGGACCTAGAAATGGGCTCCTTAAAATGTCAGTGTAGAGGTACTGGGAATCCTATATCCCTGCCCTGTTTTTCTGTAACATTGAGAAGCATGTGGGCTTAGTGCAGGCTACTTAGTTCTGGATCTGTAGGGATAGGATTTATTTAACCATCTGAACAGAAGAAATAAAACGGAAGGCAAGCTCTGTTCATGTGCTCATCAAGCTGCACAAATTCCCATCTGCTCTGGGCAACATTCACAGGAACAGAAGGATCCTTCTTTCCGAGAATGTTGTTTTCATTATATAATTGTAGATATGGCATGCGGGGTATTTCTGTGTACAAATACTTTATCCATGAGAAATGTATAGCTGCTGGATATATGTGCTTACACATATATGTGGTAGATGCTATACATAACTATTGCATGAATGTTTATATATTTATGTACATATTTTATAATATGAAACATAAAATATAAGCACAATATGATTTTTACATCCAAATAGTTAACAGAGCAGATGCCACTATATTCTAATATGCAATCAGCCCTGGACATAGACATGTCAAATATAAAAATAGGAAAACAGGAAAATTAAAAATCAACTGAGGAAGAATTGAGAGAAAGAAAATGTGAGTTAGTGTTGACATCCACAATATTTTCAGGAATGAGTCAGCAATGTTCTTGCTGCAGGGCATGGACTCCACAGGCCCTGCTTGGCTTTTGAAGGCACATGAGTGTTCTTTGTTTCAGATGAATCAAGCTCCAGTCCTGGCCGGCAGATGTCCTCCTCAGATGGTGGGCAGCCATGCCAGTCAGACACCGACAGCTCCGTAGAGGAGAGTGATTTCGACACCATGCCAGATATTGAGAGTGATAAAAATGTCATCCGGACCAAGGTATCCTGCCTGGCCATACTCTTTCAGAGGTCAAAAAGTTTGACAATAGCTACAACTTTAGCAGTGCCTCAGTTTCCTTTTTTGTTTCTCTCTCTCGCTCTCTTCAGAGGAAATCAAATTTTCCAGAGGGCATAGATAAAACAAAACAAAACAACACTGGTTGCTGTGGAGTCCATTCCAACTCGTGGTAACCCAGTGTGTCAGAGTAGAACTGTGCTACATAGGCTTTTCAGTGGCTGATTTAAAAAAAAAAAAAAATTGGAAGTAGATCCCCAGGCCTTTCTTCTGAGGCACGTGGTATGGACTTGAACCTACAAGCTTTAGCTTAACAACCCAGTGTGTTAACTGTTTGCACCACCCAGGGACTCAAGCTAAAAGACACACCCTATTAATTAGCACTTTTGTTTGTGGAGATTGCAAAGATAAAGAAAGTGAGAACAGAGCATTAAAACACTACGGTGTGAAGTGAACTGATTATAAGTTATTACATTATCATTCTGGGAGAACTGATTATAAATTCAGTTAAGTGGCTGATTATAGGAAGTGAGTAAAGTAATCTAACCAGATGGAAGAAGAGATTCAAAGGAAGGAACCCTGGTAGTGCAATAGTTAAGCACTCTGCTACTAACTGAAATTTTGTTGGTTCAAACCCACCTGCTGCTCTGTCAGAGAAAGATGAGGCAGTCTGTTTCTATAAAGATTAAAAGCCAAACTCACTGCCATCAAGTAGATCCCAACTCCTAGCGACCCCTCCTAGAGTTTCCGAGGCGGTATCTCTACGAAAGTAGATTGCCCAATCTTCCTTCTGAGGAGTGGCTGGTGCGTTTGAACCACCAGTCTTCTGGTTAGTGATCAAATGCCTTAGGCACTATGCCTTGGAAACCCTATGGGGCAATTCTACTCTGTCATATAGGTTCACTATGAGTCAGAATCAACTCCATGGCAATGATTTTTATCTGACAAAGCTCCCTGATTCTGTACATAAACATCCTTTACAAGTAAAGCTCAGTTCTTTCTGGTATATATTTATTATACTGTATTGTATCCAGTAAGGAAGGCTGGTGGTATAGTGGTGAAAGTTTGGTTGCTAACCACAAGGTCAATGGTTCAAACCCACCAGCTGCTCCTCAGGAGAAAGATGAGGCAGTCTGCTTTCCTAAAGATTTACAGGCTTGGAAACCCATTGGGGGTTGCTATGAGTTGCAGTTGATTCAATGGCAGTGAGTTTGGTTTTTGATATTATATCCAGTAAGGGATACAAAGGTGAAATGTACAGTTTCAATTCTATGTAATTCAAGAACAACACAGTGGACAGCTCTGAAAACTTGGAAAGCAATTCTTGAGGTATAAGGAACATTTAAGACACCCAATAGCTCTTCACATCAGCTAATCCTTAGTATTACAGGGAAAATACTAGAATTTTTATTAAGGTATCTTGAGAAAAAAAAAGGATAAATTTAAAAGAAAAGTCTTGTTGAATAATTTTAATCTCTAGTGTGGAAATAAATTAAAAATTTTTAATGTTCTCCTTTGTTTTGTGCAAGAAAAGCCAAGTGTGGTTTTACATTCTCTTTCTGTTGGGCATCCCAGATGTTCCTCTACCTATCAGATCTGTCCAGGAAGGACCGGAGAATTGTCAGCAAGAAATACAAGATTTATTTTTGGTAAGTAAATGACCTGTAGAGCCATGGTTCCCTTAAGTAAAGTTGAATGATACAAAGATAAAGAATTCAAAGTTTTCTTTGTAAAACCATACCACTTATGTCACATGATTTATTTAATGAGATATTAATATAGGAGAGCTCTAGTGATGTAGTGCCTCAGGCATTTGACTGCTAACCAAAAGGCTGGCGGTTCAAACCCACCAGCCACTCCTTGGAAGGAACATTAGGCAATCTACTTCCGTAGTGATACTTCCTCGGAAACCCAAAGAGGGGTCACTATGAGTCAGATCCGACTCAACAGCAGTGAGTTTGGTTTGGTTTTGGTATGCTAAATTCCACAGGAAAAACAAAAACAAACTAAAAATACAGCCAACTCTAAATTAAGTAAATGCAAAGTAAAAATAAGAATAGTGATAGAATCCCATCCATTCAGGGAGCTGTCTTAGTGAAAGTTTTCTAGAAAAACATATATATATATAGAGAGAGAGAGAGAGAGAGAGAGAAATTTGCATAAAGGGGTTGGTTCATGTGATTGTGGGGGTTGGCAAATACAACATCTGTAGGTCAGGCAGCAGGTGGAGATTTCTGCAAGCTTCCAGCCCAAGATCCATAGGATCAGACAATGGCAAGAGTGGAGAATGGAGAGAGAGAGAGAGAGAGAGAGGGCAAGTTCTGCCAAGATATTTATTTATACTCTGGAGGCAGACCACACCCTAAAGAAACTCCCCTTTCAACCGATTTATTGATTACATTTTATTAGATTGCATTATTGAAGATGATTACAGTGTGGAACAGCAACTAGTCTAGAGTTTGGCCAAACTACTGAGAATCATAGCCTAGCCAAGTTGACACATAAAATTAACTATCACAGGTTAATTGTTCTTCTCCCAGAATGATAATGTAATAATAACATTAATATCCATAGATACTATTGCATCACCAGTACCTTCTGTGAAACTGGGGCCCTTCCCTCTTCTCATCACCCAGGCCTCACTCTTTGGGAGTCCCAAAGTGATTTCAGGGACTAGGTACTAGAGCATCTCAGGGTAGCTGAAAACTACCCTGAGAGAAGATGATACCACCAGCCAATGATAACTAGACCTTCAGTGGTCATGCACATTGATGAAGGATTCCCAAGGACTGCTTCCGCTCAGAAATCTTATGGGTGAGTGGTATTTTCTTATGACAGCTCACCCCATTCTGTTCTCTTAAAGGCTACAGATATTTGAGGAAAGCTAGGGACAATGAGGGCCACATAGAATTTCATTGGGGGACCTTAATCTTGGAACTAAGAGGTACCTAAGAGAATCATAGCTCCTTTACGTCTTCATGTGATCCATCATTCATTACTTGCACTCTGATCAGTTTAATTGAATGACATCCTAAAGAGATAGGCCTTCATTAGTAATTTGGTTAAACTAGTGTTGTTGTTGTTATGTGCCGTCGAGTCGGACTCGACTCATAGCGACCCCTCCTTGGGTTTCCAAGGCAGTATCACTACGGAAGTAGATTGCCCCATCTTCCTTCCGAGGAGTGGTTGGTGGTTTGAACCACCAGCCTTCTGGTTAGCAATCAAGTGCCTTAGCCACTATGCTACCAACTAGAGCAGGTACTATTTACCCTGTTTTAGGGGGGTTTGTTTTTATTGTTATTTTTTTTATTGTGATTTGGGAAGAAGTTTACAGAGAAAATTTATTTTCCATACAGTAGTTCATACACATTTTGTTTCATGATATTGACTCCAATTCCCCACAATGTAACAGCTCTTGTCCCACTTCCTCCCTATAGTTACCTCTTCCTTGTGTCCTTCTTTCCTTTGCATTCCTGCCCCCTGCGCTATCTCCCTGTGCAAATACTGCCCTTCTGTTCTCCCATGATTGATCATTCTAAGGAGTGTATCTACTTCATTTAAATGTTCATCCTATATGACTGTCTATTGTTTAGCTGAATGCCCTGGAGTGATTTCAATTCCAGACCTGAAAGGTAACTAAGGACCATTCTCAGGGGTCTTACCAGGCTCTATCAGACCAACAAACCTGGTCTTTTTTATGATTTTGAGTTTTGTTCCACATTGTTCTCCCACTCTATCCAGGATCGCCTACACTGATGATTGTTTCCAAGTGGTTGAGAGTGGTAGCTGGGCACCATCTAGTTCTTCTGGTCTCATGGTCACATAGGCTGAGGTTCACATGGTCCACTAGTCCACTACTAATTTTTCCATGTGTCTTTGGTATTCTTCATTTTTCTTTGCTCTGGATGAGGAGAGACCCACTGTTGCATCTAGATGGCCGCTTATAAGCTTTTAAGACCCCAGTCACTACTCACCAAAGTAAGATGTAGAACAATGTTTTTGTGTAGTATGTTATCCCAATTGAGTTTGATGTCCACTGTGACCATGGTCCTGAGCCCACAGTTCCAACAACTTACTCCTTCAGGGTGGTTGACTGCCTAAGAAGTTATCATAACTTTGCCCCCTATTAGTTCTAGTTACATGGACATTCTTACAGCACATATAAATATGTATTTAGAAATATTGTCTGCCTATCTTACATATAAAAGAAAAAAGAAAAAAAAAAAAAACCTCACTGCTATTGAGTCGGTTCAACTCATAGCAACCCATCCTTGGGTTTCCAAGGCAGTATCTCTATGGAAGTACGTTGCCCAATCTTCCTTCCAAGGAGTGGCTGGTGGGTTTGAACCACCAGCCTTCTGGTTAGCAGTCAAATACCTTAGACAGTACACCACTGGGTAATGGGCATATTCTCTTTTGCCTAGACATACCTGATCATTCATCTTGTCTTCTCATCTATTTAATGTTTGTTATCACTAATAATGCAGTATTGTATATGTAGAAGGGTTTATCTTTATTGTCTATACCTCTTGTGCACCTCTCTGTGTCTTCCTTTTCCTTAGTGTTATTGAGTTTGAAACTTGCTTTTTGTATATTGCCTTCCCCTTCACCCAAATCAGTATTTGTCTCTACCAATCTAGCAGTGTTCCCTCTTCTCCCCTTCCATCCCTGGTAACCAACAAAGAAAGTTTCCTTCCATATATAATTCTTTCCTTGACTTTTTACAATAGTGAGCTAATACAATATTTGTCTTTCTGTGATTGACTTATTTCACTCAGCATAATGTCCTCTAAGTTCATCCACATTATATTTACCCTGTTTTATAGATAGTTGTATGAAGAAGAAGGAAAAGAACTATTTGTTGATGTTATGGGTTGAATTGTGTCCCCCTAAAATGTGTTGTGGGAGCTCTGGTAGCATAGTGCCTAAGGCACTTGACTGCTAACCAGGAGGCTGGCGGTTCAAACCCACCATCCACTCCTCGGAAGGAAGATGGGGCAATCTACTTCCGTAGTGATACTGCCTTGAAAACCCAAGGAGGGGTCACTATGAGTTGGGTCCAAATCCACGGCACATAACAACAACAACAACAACAAAATGTGTTGTAAATCTTAATCCCTATGCCTATGGTTATAATCACTAGGAATGAGCTTTCTTTGTTCTATTAAGAGCCCATATCAGTGTATGGTGTGTGTTAAGCCAGTCACCTTTGAGATATAAAAAGAGGAGATTAGGTACAGAGAAGCAAGCAGAGTTGGGGAAAGATAGGTGCCACACTAAATGAGATCTCCAAGGAAGGAACCAAGAAACAGAAGCTGAAAAAAGACATGGATCTTCCTCCAGAATCAACACAGAGAGAAAGCTTTCTCCTAGAGCCAGCACCCTGAATTTAGACTTCTATTGTCCTGTGAGAAAATAAATTTATTTTTGTTAATGCCATACACTAGTGGTATTTCTGTTATGGCAGCACTGGATAACTAAGACAGTTAGGCTCTAATCATTAACCTTGAAATAGACCATCTCAATTAATATTATCATTGTTCTCCTCTGTGATCAAACTAATAGTAGCCAAGAGTTTTTCTTTACTTCCTTACCTCTCTTCTAGGCAAGGTAAGTAGTTGCCGTTGAGTCAGTCCCAACTCATGGCAAGCTCTTGTGTATAAGAATAGAACTGTGCTCTATAGGGTTTTCCATGGTTGATTTTTCAGAAGTAGATCACCAGGCCTTTCTTCCAAGGCACCTCTGGGTGGACTCCAACCTCCAACCTTTCCTTTCAGTTGGCAGCCAAGTACATTAACCATTTACATCACCAAGGGACTCTCTAAGCAAGGTATTATGTATCAAATCCCCAAATGCAAGAGAAGGGAATAAGAAGACTGGAGAAACAGGAACTATGTAATCAGTCCCTAATAACTTTTGCAAATTTACTATGGAGTTGTAAGTGGAAGATGCAAAGATTTCACTGTGAATTTGGAAATAACTGTTACTATTCTTTCTGTCCTGCATAGGAACATCATCACCATTGCTGTGTTTTATGCACTGCCTGTGATCCAGCTGGTCATCACCTACCAGACAGTAAGTGCTACCCAACCCCAGAATCCCAGCTTCCAAACTACGTGGAAAAGATCTTTGCTGTGACTTAGAGTGAAAGGTATAATTTGGGATCAGTTCAAGAATTAATTTCCCATTTGAGTTCCAAGTGGATTTTTCCATTACTTCATCTTTGACTGACTTTTCAATCAAGTTCCCAATTGTTTTATCACAAAGGGATCTGGGACTTCTTACATTATTTTGTCAACCAGTCTGAAATTATTAACTTGCACTTATTCAGCCATAATCTCCATTACCTGCATCTGTTATTACCAGTCTGAGTTTCTGATCATCATGGGACAATGAGTAGAGTCCATAAAGCTCCAGACCAAAGCAAAGAATACCAATGTCTGATTTAGCCTCTGCCATCTCATTAAAAGCAAATAGTTGTATAATATTAAGAAAGCTTCATAAAACTAAAAAATATTAAATTTGTTTAGAAATATATAAAATAAAAGCAAAGATAAGAAAAAGACAAAAATAATAATAATAATAACAGCTTGAGAACCCCACTGCTTCTCTTCAGAACCCTAGCATTCAGATCACTGAGGTGACCTTCTCTGGAATTTATTATATGTGAGAAAGTTTATTTACAATAACAGGACATGAAGGTATTTCTGATGAAGTGCTTCTCACACTTTGCTATATATTAAAATCACCTGGGGAACTTTTAAAAATCCCAGTGCCCAGACTACACTCATAACAATTAAATAAATCAGTCTTTAGGCATGGAACTAAGCATTAGTAATTTTTAAACTCCATAGTGATTCCAAAGTACAAGCCAAGTGTGAGAACCAATGGTCTAAAAATATGCAGCCAATCCTATACTTATTAAGTGACAAAGACAAGAACTTTATGTGGTTTGAATACCATTGTTTATAATGTAAACATTCTCGGAATATTTTAGGGCTCTGTCAGAATATAAAGCTGCTTAAATTGTGTCTGGGAAGGTAATGACAGAGATGGTGGTAAATATTGAAAACTGAACACACATCCCCTTATGTCTACTTGCCCCATGGTTACCATTTCAACCAAGAGGATGGGACAGCTCCATGTCCTCCAGTATTAATCTAGAAAATAGGACATAGTGTGACTGTCTTAAAAGGTCATTCCTACCATTAGCATCCTTTCATCACCTTTTATTATGATAGCAAAGGAAAAGCACTTAGTTGAATTCCACCTTGAGGCCGCATCATGGGAAGACACATAGAATATTTCAGTTCAAAGCAAGAAGGCAGCATTTGAAGGCACTGTGCCTGTGCTGTGGAAAGGGGCCAATAATGATCCATTCCTGCTGAGAGGGGGCGCTGCGTACATTGTAAATCACAGACAGCACATCACTGTGCATTGTCTGCCTTTTATGAGTTCAGACTGGGTTCAGGGGATGCAGAAAAACTGCAATTCCTCTCTCACTCTTGATTTTACAGGTGGTAAATGTCACTGGCAACCAGGACATCTGCTATTACAACTTCTTGTGTGCTCACCCTTTGGGTGTCCTGAGGTAAGCCCAGGCTTCTGATTGCCCATGAGGCATTTAAAGAGTCTTTTCTGTTTAGTGTTTGATTTCAGTTTTTTAAAATCCTAAGAACAACTGTGGAAATCTACCTTAGTTAAAGGTAGCCAACCAAACCTATTGCCATTGAGTCAATTCTGACTCATAGCAACCCTATAGGACAGAGAAGAACTGCCTCATAGGGTGTCCAAAGCTGTAAATCTTTACAGAAGCAGACTGCCACATCTCTCTCCTATGGAGTGGCAGGTAGGTTCAAATTGATGACCTTTTGATTAGCAGCCAAGCACTTAACCACTGCACCACCAGAGCTTTTGCAGGAATTAAATCAAGAAGATGAGACCAAATATACTTCTCTCATTCTTGTATTAGTACCTCAGGAAACATTCCTGAGAAATGTCTACTGAGAAGAAGATAGTGATGTTGAAAATATCACATCCTTAGCTGGAATGGTACTTGTCTATGGGCATAAAATGACAATATGTTGTCTTATTCAATCCATTAAGAAACCTCATGAGATAGTCATGAGTTCTTTACCTGTGGGAGCTGGATGTTTCAGTGGTAGAATTCTCGACTTCCATGTGGATGACCTGGGTTCAACTCCTGGCCAATGTATCTCATGCATTACAGTGACCACCTGTCTATCAGTGGAGACTTGCATGTTGCTATGATGAAGAACAGATTTCAGTGGAGCTTCCAGGCCAAGGGAAAAAGGCCTAGCAGTCTACTTCTGAAAATCAGCCACTAAAAACTACAAATCACAATTGTCCAATCCACAACCTATCATGTGGATGATGCAGGACTGGGCACCATTTTGTTTCAGTATACATGGGGTCCCCATGACTTGGGCATCCTCATGAGTCAGGGGCTGACTCAAGAATTATTACCCCTATCTTTATGAGCAGAAGACATGAGTAGGCACTTCACCAAAGAGGATATTCAGGTCGCCAACAAACATATGAAGAAATGCTCATGATCATTAGCCATTAGAGAGATGAAAATCAAAATAACAATGAGATACCATCTTGCCCTAGCACTAGTAGCAAAGTTCAACAAGACAGAAAATAACAAATGCTGGCAAGGATACGGAGAGATTGGGACTCTCATACGTTGCTGGTGGAACTGTAAAATGATACAACCACTGTGGAAAGCAGTATGGCATTTTCTTAAAAAGTTGGAACTAGAAATACCATTTGACCCAGCAATTCCACTGCCAGATATATATCCTAAAGAAGTGAGAGCCAGGACAAGAACAGATATATGTACACCCATGTTCATCGCAGCACTATTTACAATAGCAAAAAGATGGAAACAACCTACGTGCCCATCAACAGAAGAATGGATAACCTAACTATGGTACATACACACAATGGAATACTATACAACTCTAAAGAATAATGTAGAATCAGCGAAACACTGCGTAACATGGATGAACTTGGAGGACATTATGCTGAGTGAAATAAGTCAATAGAAGTCATAGAAGGACAAATATTGTATTATTCTATTATTATAAAAAGTCAAGGAAGGGTTTATATATGGAAGGAAATTGTCTTTGTTGGTTACCAGGGGTGGGAGGGGAGGGGAAGGAACACCGTTAGATAGGTAGAAACAAATACTGATTTGGGTAAAGAGAAGGGCAATGTACCAAATGTGAGTGATCAACACAGTGGAATTGAGGAAGAGGAAGACATAGAGAGTTGCATGGGAGGTATAGACAACAAAGATGAACTCTTTTGCACATACAGTACTGCATTGTCAGTGAAGGCAAACATTGATCTATGGGTGGATAGATGGGTGGATAGGCTGAATGATCAGATATGCATAGGCAGGGGGGAATGTGCCCATGACCATGTATAGGGTTGTGCGGTGTAGTAAATTACTTAGTGTGGCTTTTCTACCCATAAGTCTTTGTAAACTCCAAGGTGGGAATTGCTATTAGCAACTGAGGAGATCCTGA